TACCTCATAATGTATATTTTTCACCATTAACATTTTGCAAATACTTTCATGACAGTAATGGGTAAAAAATCAAAGAAAAACAAAATAAGATATGCCATTAGAAATAAAATACTTTAAGATAATAAAAGAGATAAAATACAGTAATAAATAGCATAAGCAGGGAAATACCTTAAAAAATAATCATCAATCACTATCTGTAAATCATACTAACATGTTAAATCTAAAATATGATATGTTCACACTTAATACATGAACATGCAAGGTATAATAATACCTATGTTTAAAAAAATCAAACCTTTTATTCTTTTTCTTTCTTCTTCAGGTTAACAAAACAAAACAATACAATAGAAAAAAAAAAAAAAAAAAAGAAAGAAAAAAAAAAAGCAATAATTTCACAAGACTTTTTAACATTAAAAATTGACAACTGTGCATTCTAAGGATTAATAAAGTCTACACAAAGACATTCCTTTAGTCTACATATATGAAAATGTAATAATCTAATTTACCCATATCAAAAAGGAAAAAATTCTCCCATTAGAAAAAAAACGTACTAACCTAGCACAAATGATGTCTGAAAGACTGCAGTTGCCATCATTGCATTTAAGAATCGCATAACATTAAACACTCTTAAGCTGGTGACCAAGGCTGTGATTACACCGGAGACCACCATGCAAACGAGCCCAATTAAGATTGTCAGCATGCGTCCAATTCTGAAGACAATTCACAAAAATTAAAATATTATAAAACTTATACAAACTGACAAAAAATAAAAAGAAGCAAAGAAATTAACTGAAGAGAGTAAAAGCAAATAAATAAAGTGTATAAGAAAAAAAAAAATAAATAAAAAAAATAAAAAATAAACAAATAGTGACAGGTAAAAAGCATGAAAAAGGACTTACTTAAACATAGTTTTCTGTCTAATGAACTGACAAAGAAGACCTAATGAATGAATGATTATGCAACAAGTATAAAGAACATAGTAGAAAATCATGATGTAATAACACTCATTACTGTTAATCCTTTTGTTAAGCAATAAAGCAATTACATAGACAGTATATATGATTCAGTGAAAATGTGACTATAGTCATTTATCTACTATCAGTAATGCAAAATACAAAAATTTCTTAATGAATGATGGCTCTTATCTCAATATATCTACAACAATACTGACAAGAAAAAATATTGCTCTCTTGTCCTTTTATCTGGAATCTTTCTTAACCTACCAGACACATCTTCAACCAAAAATGTCATAATACATAAAGCTGATCTTAGGGGATCTAAGAGGGGTCTGGTTTTACTGAGGATACCACTGCATTCGATGAATATTCTACATTGTCTACTTAGAATTTTCTCAATGAAGATTTCTACTGATTCTAAATACACCATTTGGATGCATAATACAAAATAATTCAATGTTCACTTACATCTTAATATCATAACTATAATAAAAATGTTACATAAAGAATAAACACATACTCCTCATTTCAGACCACTGAATGTTCTTGTTGGCACCAAGAGCAACTTTAGAAAAGGAATTAGACACTGATGATCAACTCACCTATCAGCAATGAAACCAAAGACGAATGCTCCAATCAGAACTCCACTGAAGTATATTGTCTGTGCCATATTTGCTTCCCAAGCATCATGACAGGTAAGGTTAAACTGTTAAGAACAGGGTAGGTATAAGCACATTGGATTTCATGCATGTAAAAGGACATATAATCTGCTACCTATTACATTTTCAGAATGTTTCCTTTGTTTTGTTCTTACACCCATGCCAAGAAAGAATGTGATTCTTGTTTTCTTTGTAAGTATCAAGTTGTGTCAATTAGCATATTCTTCAATTAGGAAAATATATGCATTAACCCTATGAGGACAGTTTTTAACCATGTCAAATCAAGCAACACACAGAGCACTGCACATAGTCAGCAACATAGGTTAGAAATCTGAAACATACCGTTACCCCCACTGCTTATGATTTTAGCTGCAGCATAAATGATCCTTTAATTCAAAAATTGTTTTAGCATGTATAATTTAGAGCAGGCATGGCATGGATACATTGGTGTGAACAAGTTGATAAATACATAGAATAATTAATTGTGTTAATAAAAATCTAAGGGAAGGTAGACAATAAAGCAGCTATATAGACAAACTGTTCCTATCTTGGGAGTACAGAGGAGGAAGCAAAGTATTCAGTTACCAAATTTCTTTTGAAATATTGCTAAGCCAAAGAAGAGAATGCTATCACACTTAAAAACTGCATGACCTAAATGAATCTTGATATTTTTATCCCCTATGGTCTGGATGACATTATGGTCTCGTCATGGAAAAATCTGAATCAAGGGCCAGGTGAAGTGAACATCCCATCATCGGGCAAATGGCCAAGAGCTGGGTGACGTGAACGTGCTGTCAAGAGGGAAGGCCAGGGTGATGGAAAGGACTCACCACGAGTGCACAAACCTCTTGATTTGACTCGTGTGGCACTTAAAAGGGGGCTTTAGCATTATTTCCAATGATAAACGAATGTGGAATGTAACATGCATAAGCCGTGACTGGAAGAGTGCTGGCTCTATTTCCATGTTGCAAACTGTATTCCTGACCGCTGTGACCGGCGGCGCAGGTTGTATTACGGAAAATTACGAAAAAATAAGATACATGACACAAATAGCCGAATATTCCATATATTTTTTTCTTGCACTGGGTAGTTTACAACATAGAGAGATGATAAGGAGTCTGTGCAAGGAAAACAAGCTATTACCATTTGGACAAAGCAAATCAAAAGACAAATATGGGTATTGGAAAATTCCAATAAAGCTAAAAAATTACTTTGCAAAGGGAAGGCACAGAGTCTTGTCACCAATCATGAGTGTTCAAGCATAACTGGCCTATGCACCACACACCTGGGATGTTGGCTACTTCCGTAACACACTGCCCGTATTTTCAGCACCGTGATTTCCGTAATGCAACCAGATCCAACGCGTTAATGTCAAAAATGGAATTTCTGTAGTGTACCACTAAAAATGCAAGTAGGGCCATTCTTAAAGGATATCAGACAACCAGAAAAGAGAATCAATAACCATCACTGTCTTTATGGCAAGTAGCTCATAGGAACTGTAGCCTGAAACAACCTATCCATCATCAGAAGATTATCTTATTGAGTGAGATACTAGTGAAATATTGTCCCAGGTGACTGCTAAATGCATTATTGGTTGCACAGAGCAAAGAGCTTAATTTTTGTCTTCTCAGCCATCACTTAGAAAAACAGACAGACAAGTAACTTCTGTTCAAACATCTTGTTATTAAAAAAAAAGGAATAAATGAAAGATGAGAAAGAGCAGAGGTACTGACAATCAACTCCATGCACATATACTAGTTATCAGAACAAGAACTATTACCCAGCGTATGGTGTCAATAAAATTAATATTTACAGTCACCTGATTATAAGAGTTGTAATAAAGAAGCAAACACTAATGATGCAAGTTATCTGGTTTTGTTTGTGACAGAAGAAGGTTTGGTTTATGTTAATTCATCTGAATATAATTCATCTTATGATAGTTGCATCCCACGATTGTACATCTCACCAGTGATGTAGCAGAAAAGTGTGAGAGAAATGATATGGCCTTATTACTTATTGCATATGCCTATTGAAATATACAGAGTTGCAACTTCATACTCATCTCTCTTCTCTCTCTTATTTACTTATATTACCTTCTATATATCCCATACAGAATCAGAATGTAGTAACATACAACAAATGAATCTAAATTCCTTAAAAAAAAACTAGAAGATACAAAAAAATGCATGCACCGAAACAAAAGGCCTACAAGACTAACTGAAGTTCAATAATGACTTACTTCTGTTACAATTGTGGTAGCATATACAGTAGTATCAAACACTTTCCCCTCTGGGCAGTCCTCTGTTGTGTTCTCCATGAAAGCTGAAGGAATGCAACCTTCTTCTTCATCAATGTGTTTGTAACGTTGACACTTGGAAAAGCCTGATGTTTTGTTGTAGGGAATGGTGAATTCTAAGAATGTTCTATTATACTGGAGATCTGTAAGATTTGTATCACATGCTGGCACAATGCATCTGTAATATGAAAGAATGACCACATTACATTAATGCATGTACAGGAATAAAGATATAATAATAACAAAATAATAACATAATCTATTGACTAATAAGAGAGTGGAGGGAAGGGAGAGAGAGAGAGGGAAAGAGGGCGAGAGTGAGAGTGAGAGAGGAGAGGAGGAGGGAGGGAAGGGGGAGGGAGGGAGGAAGGGAGGGGAAGGGAGGTAAGGGAGGGGAAGGAGGTAGGGGAGGGGGAGGTAGGGGGGGGAAGGGAGGTAGGGAGGGGGAGGTAGGGGAAGGGGGGGAGGAGAGAGAGAGGAAGGGGGGAGAGGGAGATATCACTTCAACTGGGATTGGAACAAATTTTTCAAATCTCTAACCAAAGAAAACTTACCTATAATGTTCTGGAGTGGCTCCAATAAACACATATGCCAGGTTTGAAGTTGCAACAAAAATGAATGGAAGACACAGTAGGAAGTACACGCGTCGTTGATAGGGACCAAATTCCCCTATCACTTTAAAAATGGCATCCATATCCATGGCCATGTTTCTTGCTATCTCATCTGCTGAAAAAAAAAAAGGGTTCTGAGCATAATTCAAACCATTGAAAGAATCAATTTTACATATATGGAGGAAAGTATAATAGAATTATTGATTAGTGTTTGTAATTATGTTAATAAAATTGTGGGGACCTCACAGGGTGTGCTTTAACTGAAATTCAAAGGTTGCCTTCCTAACAGAAAAATATACCCCCAGGGAAGGGAGTCCGGGGGGTTAGGAAGGTATGCTTCGTTTGTATGGCAAAATGCCCACAGGAAAGGTGTAAGGAAATACCCCAGGGAAAGGGGTCTGGGGGTTTGCCCCTGGTAGGGAAATAGTCCAAGGAAGGGGGTTCAGGGGATTGCCCCCATTAGGGAAATACCCCAGGGAAGGAGTTCCGGATTAGGTTAGGTCAACAAATTTCGTCGGGATTTCATTAACACTGACACCGGCATGGCGCATCTAGCAGCGGTGCCAGATACTAATTCAGATTTTGCATTTAATTTTTTTTTTTTTCACTTTTGATTCCACTATTTCTCCCGTATGTGTGTCTTCCCCCCACCTTCAACCCCCATTTCTCCATGGATCCCCCAAGATTGAAGGGGGTAGGAGAAAAAACAACATCAAATAGGCGTGGCTCTCTTACGTAGAATTACCTTTTTCCATGTGCATTCACTTCAGCCACTTCCCTAAATAAGTTGCCAAGTGATGCCACACTCCAGGTCAACTAAATGCACATAGATACAGATAATAAAAGGCAATCACTCTTCCATACTTATTTCTTTTTACTATATATTTCTGCAGTGTTCTTGTTGATCTTTCATTAAACTGGGAACTGTGCCCCATCACCAATCCACCCACCTGCCTGATATCTACTGGCAACCCAACAACTAATTACAAAAAAGATTATATCACTATGGAAGAGTAGCCTAATATCTTTCAAGGATATTCAAGACCAAATACTGATGCCTATCGCTTAAATGGGTGAAAAGCCACCACCAAAGCCATTTTTATGACACCTATCCATACCGATGAGCCCAGACCAAAAGTAGGTCTCACACTATCTGTGTGCAGCTACTTTGAATGTCTGTTAATATCAATTTTGTGCACCCATCTGCTACCAAGGGAGCAGATGAGTACTACAATTTCCCTACAGCAAGTATAAACTCAACAATTTTCTTAACATAAACTACAGAATAATTACTTTGCCTTTATATATAATTCCATCTTTGAAAACCTTGCTTGGTATGTAAGAGCACTTTTATTGATATTTTGGATATTTTATGGGCTCAGATGATGTCTATTTCTTATGCATAGTCACTTTATTGTTATTGAGAGGGGCTCTAAATCAACACAACAATAAAGAAAAATAATCTCACTGATGCTTGTTACTGGATTGATCACAGTTAAAAAATATATAAAAAAAAACTGTTCAAAAAGGTTTTAGAAGTTTAACAATAACAAAAATATGTGAAATACATGTATATGGAAGACCAGATATTGATATTCACATTAGACTGATTTTCACAAGTGCAAAGTAACACATGAGCTACTTAACATATTAATGAGTTATGCTGTCTGTGTAGTATCTGAGACCACAGAGTAAATATCTTGAGCAACTTGGAAAAATTCAGTACGGCAAGAAATTCAAATGCTGATTATAAATACAATGTATGAGTGCACTCCTTTTCTTCATTTTCAGTAACACCGTACAGAATAGGATTTTTTTTTTTTTTTAATATAGCAAGTGTTGATCTCCTCTAATTTAACAAAATCAGGCATAAATGGCCATACATCAGTGTGTGCTGTTCTATGCATGGACAATTATCCAGCTCACAATATGGTATACAATATCTGGAAACCACGACAAAGAATCACAACATAATTGAGTATCATTTGATAGCATATCACTAATGGCAAATGGTTTAATACTTGAACTGGTCTCTAGTATGTGGGATATTAATCCAATGCAGTGTCAGTTATCTATCAAAGGTAAAAAAAATATGGTAAGTTGCCATTGTTTTTTTTTTCTACAATTATCACTGCCATTTCCTTGGTATTGGTAGGTTTCAAGTATCATGCTCAAATAAGACTTTATTTCTGGAATTCAAGTCTTTCTGGTGTCACCAGTGATTAGGACTATTCCTTGAACATAAAGAAATGAAGAAACATATATTCACTGGATTGCCCAAGCTCCACCTTGCCTGAATATATTATGGTGAAAGGCAAGGGAGAAGGAGACCCCCTTTTGTCGATGAAATTCTTAAAATTTGGATAAATCTTATATCTGCTTAATTTCTCTTCATCATTCTTTTTTTCTTTATATTACCTAACAAAGTAAAAAAAATACTTCAATTTCTACAATGCTACTGGGAATTTTGTTGGGTATAGTTTCAGTTTCACATAGTCTAGGTAAACTTTTCCTGTGATGGATAGAATAACAGAAAATAAGACATTTTCATTTGTGCAACATGTAATATACTGACATACATTTACAGGAAATGTAATGACACTATCATAAAGAAAGGGAAACAATCACGATTGATTGGTCCATCACAAGCATGTTTCAAGTCGATCACACTACTGTAACAGTGAAACAATTACTGCAAAAAATATTCATTCTCTCTCTCTCTCTCTCTCTCTCTCCTCTCTCTCTCTCTCTCTCTCCTCTCTCTCTCTCTCCTCTCTCTCATACCTCAAGTGGGAGTAAGATGTTACACTGTTACAGCTATATTTATGGAATATGTTTGATATATGAAAAAATCAGCACAGACAAAGAATAACCACAGAAAGGAAGAAAATAGGTTGTGACAAATGCCGTGCAGAAAGTAAGTCCATGACAATTGGATGGGTTCCAAGAGCGAAGCCCCCAATAGGCAAATAGAGTACTAAGTTGCAAGATATTTAAACTGCATATACAACCCTCAACAACGATAAGAAAAATGAAAAGAAAATCCTGCAGAGAATTCCAGAGTTTACCAACTAAAAAAATTATTTCCAGGTTAGAAAAATATTCCCATCTTCTACAGTATTTTAATGAAATAAAAAAAGAAAGTTTTAAATAACTTTACTTTTAGGTTTCAAATCCAAAGTATGACCTTTCTGATTCTTTAAACTATTGTGAATTCTAAAACAGCAAGGAAATTTGTTTTCAGGCAACACACTCAAAAAGCTACCTGTGCCCCTTGATCACACAAAAGGAAGAGCTGTCAGAGAAAATCTGAATAATGAATTGATGTTATGAATACTTGATGTTTGTTTGTCACCTTTAGTTAAATTGATTATATAAAATTAAGAAGCTATTTGAAACCATATATTTGCATATTACATGTACTGTCAGATATTATGTCTTCATTATATTATGCTACTGTAAGTGCATATTTTTTCTCTTACTAGAGCAAACATCTTGCTATAAACATTATCGAGTAATATGAAAATTATAATGGGTAACTGCCAATTATTTCACAAACACTAGCTCCTTCATGTAAAACTGAAATGTAATGATCATAATGATTAGTGCATCTGGCATGTGCGTCTTGCATCTTCAGGACAAGTACTGTTTGGATTAAACACTGGTATTAATTTTACTGAGGCGTACTGAAGACGCCTATGGTTAACAATACTCAACATGGCATTTGATGAAACCCAAAAATCTAATTACCAATCATCAAATATTAGTGAGAAAGTTTTACACACACCAACCTAAGTGATTAAACCGAATGAAACTGAATATATTGTTACAGCGTAGTGTCATGGGTTCATTCCCGTGACGAAAAAGAAAAGGTTCTCATTCACTTCTTCGTTTCTATACCTTTACGGACAAAGAAAACACAGCATTTACTTTGCCATTTGCAACAACTACCCGTAACCCAAACCATTTAACTTAATAAAGTCCTCTTACCAGCATAAATCTTTCATAACCTAACGAAAAGTGTTGTCTTTCACCCCTCTATGTCAGCGTCGCGGCCTCCTTCCCTTTTGACAAGACGAAGGTAAACAATGTTGGAGACAGGTGATAGAGATCGCGAGTTAAAACTATGTAATGTTTTCAATTTCATTTACACAGTAATGGCTACATTTTGCATGAAATATTTAATCTGTTGTATGATATTACATCACAAGGTTTAAGATGAACGAGGGGTTAATTAATTGTGATAACCTGAGAATATAGTCTACGGGATTGCATGAAATAAAGTTCTGCGATCTCTATGTTGGGACTTTTTTCGCTCCAAGTACAAATCATGGAACAGGTATCCTTATTATCAACAGTATTATCCAAATTAAATATGTTAATTGTAAACATTCTTCAGCTTTGTTAATGTAGCTATACAGCCTGAGCTCTCAGCAGTAGATTTCTCGCCACTCTTTACAGCTTACAATGAAAATTATGTATAATTCCGTACGCACTAATTACCATCATTATTCGTCGAAGTTTAGTGTACTTGTCCCAAAGAGGGACTGGTACATGAGTCATTGGTCTGAGAATTCGCGGGCGACCCTTTTATATGAATGGCCTTGGTATACTTCCCAAAGACGGTCATCACTTCAGCCACCAACCGCCCATGAGTGTTGAGGGGCTGATTCTCACCCTTGTTAACACAGCTTTCATTTGTCGGTTGGGATGGACACGTCGTTAATTGTCAAAGTCGTCTCTTTTATGCTTCCAGTGCCACCTCCCCCATTTCTCATAAAGACATCTGACAGTGGGTGTCATGTCAACTCATGGATCAGGCAAGCTACATAACAATATGTGCAGTTACACCCAACAGGGTTATCTTCTAATGTGCAAGGTTTAACCAATCTTGTTAGCAGTGCACAATGAGAGTCGCAATATATCAATGAATTGGTTCCTAAAATTCATAATCATCTTCAATGTTGCTGGGATGCAAGGATAGCACACAATTCAGCCATGAACATTTTTGTATTTTCCGATTTCAAGTTACATAAGGAGACGAATTATGCGGAAGATACCTCCTCATATAATCAGTTACCAAAAAGCGGAGGGCGACATTTTGGTGCCCATTCCAAACCGAACATGGAAAGAATTTGAAATAAAAGAAGTTAAAAAGAGAATAAGTTGCGGCCTCATGACTAACCGACCTCCCAGGGCAAATCTGAGCGAGTGGCCCTGGAACCACGGGAAGGTAAAGTGGCATTTGTCTTTTTATTTGTTGCTGCTACGTTTGTACATAGCGTTTATTGCTCAGAGTTTCGGGACATGAATTCGCCGCAAGTGTGTGTGTTCAGTACGTGTTGCGCAGTCGCATATGAAGCAGGTATATATCATGCTATCTGTAAGAGATAAAATAACCCATTTCTATATTGTTTTAAAGCGTTCCTGGTAAAAGATAGGAAAAACATTCATGTAAATGTTCTTCGAAGACAAAAAGCTATATTTAACCTATGCAGCTCACAATGTACAAGGGCAGCAATTGGGCCTCAGGACGCAAGTAGGGAAGCAACGGATATGACACAACCAAAAGTGACGAAGCGAATCACGTGATGTACATGAAACCGTTGCCGGCGAGAGTGATATTAGTTGCTTGGTTAAAAGCTGTAATTAGCTCATGTGAAGGTGTGGGCGAGCCTGTGAATGAACACTGTGGCGGATCAAGAAATTGATATCAATGATGCTGATGACGAAGACAAAGTTAATGATGACGATGATGGTGACGGTGATGATGATGATGATAATGATGATCATCATCATCATAGTAATATTGCCGGTAATGAAAGTGAAGGTAAAATGATAATATTGAGTAAGTATGATAATAGTAGTAATGAAACAATAGCTTTCAATAATACCATCAAAAGTACTGAAAATGGTAATAGTGATAATAAAGATAATGGTAATATCATTGTTATTATTAGTATTGCATTACTCTTACTTTTACATTTTACGCCTAAAATCAAATTTCATGTGATGCGGATTTAAATTTGCCTCATTTTGGCGCAAAATGGGGGTAATGAATGACAACACAGATATTAAAGAATCACACACATACACACATCAAAATCATCATTCAAAAAGAATTAAATAAAAGATCTACTAAAAGGATTAGACAATACGAAAGCAGAGGGACCAGATGAAATATCTAACTGGGTTCTCATGTAATGTGCCGAAGAACTATGTACTCCTTTATTGTTAATATTCCAAAATTCACTGAGACAAGGTAAACTGCCAAAAAGTTGGAAACTCGCTAATGTTATACCCTTATATATGAGCGGCGACAAACAAAACCCACTAAATTATAGACCAGTTTCATTATCTTGTGTAGTATGCAACCTACTAGAAAGGATAATTAAGAAACAATGGGTTGAAATACTTGAAAAAATACGAAATGATATCAAATAAACAATTTGGTTTTAGAGAAGGAAGGTCATCTGTAACAAATCTCCTTTGTTTTTATGATAGAGTACCTGAAATGTTACAAGGAAGAGACGGCTGGGTGGATTTTGTGTATTTGGACTGTAAAAAGGCTTTTGATAAGGTGTCCC